CTGCTGAAGGTAAAAAGACCCACTTACAAGTCCCCAGTCCTGCAAGCAATTTATGACAGGCAAATATTTGTGCTTGCTTAAAATCCCAAAGAGACTCCAGGCAGATCCAAAAGTTCATCTGCATGTATCCCACTGCAAGATGTAACAAGTATTAGAAAGAAAGGATATGCATAATTTACCAATCTGTGCAGGAATTAAGGCTTCTATATACTGCCCTCTATGTTATCCTTCCTGCTAAGTAAAAGCAAACCCTAGTTCTTTTAGATTATATCAATATCTTCTGGTGTGCAGACAGCATGCTGGATAGGCTCATTATATAACATAACGCCACCATCGGTCATTTAACCCAAAAATAAATTAATTAGAACTGTTCAAATCTTTTGTCAAAAATGTATATAAAAATTAAATGGAGTTACTGTATTACTTCTTTCTGACAAAGAAAAAACGTATTAGACAGTGTCTTAAAGCATGGATATACTTTCTTGTGATAATGATCTACTACTGATGTGTTTTCTGGTCATATTTGCTTATTTCAGCCACTATCATAAATTGTTTCATTTTACTTATTAGTACTTCAAAAACAAATCAATACAGAGTGGGAATATAGGGAGTGTGGCTAATAGACAGAACTGGAACTCAGAAGACCTGAGATGTATTTCTAATTCAGACAATGGCCTGCTGGGTACCAAGGGGCAAGTCACTTCTCCTCTCTCTACCCATTTCTCCATTTGCAAAAAGGGGATAAAAATAGCCTCCTTTATAAATCCATTTTTCAAATCTACTCCCAAAAAGTGTTAAGTGCTAAATATCATTTACTATGCTTCATTGTGCAAGCTCTTCTTGTAATAAGTTGAACTACTCATTTAAGTACTCTCTAGTATGAATAAGAATTGCACATTCTAGCACTATACAATAAAATTGCTAGCTTTATGAGATTACACAAGAATGTGGCTTGTATATCAGTAAGAATGATATAGCATGCCAAATTCTACCCTAATGAAAAAATATGTATAGCCCTATTATCTACAATAGTCTCAGACAAGTTTAACAGATGATAAAAGGTTTTACTTCAGCTGAATGAAATAGACATAAAAATGGAGTAATGCAGTGATGAATCAGACTGAATATCTTTTCACTGAAAAATGAATGCACGTGATGTGAGCGACAAGATGCCACATTTGGTCACTTCTCAGTATAGAATTGCACGTTAAAACACACTTTGAGAATATGCCTTCAAACAGGATTAGCCCCAAGTCTTTGTTAACATGTTTCTTCATAAAAACTAAACATATTATTATTTTATCTTTTGTAAATAAATCTTAGTTAACCAATGAAACCACAACACTGAGCAATTTTTCAGCTGTCTCAATCCTGCATTTCTCAGCATCCCCAAAAACATATAAATTCAAATCATATCCATTATTAAACTCCAACAAAGGCAATGCATATCTACATACTGTCTTTTGCAGAAGCAGAAGATCTAGATGCCTTTATTTCAATATATTCTTCTTAATGCACCTAGAGAATTACCTACCGTTTACAACTGCTCTTCCACTCCAATACTTTGTTAGTTTTCTTCATTTTAGTATTTGGAGAAAACATGATCATTCTGCAGGAAAGAAAATAGACTTTGCTATCCAAAGTATTTAATGACTGTTCAGAAGCATATAATTTATTTCAAATAATGGGCAAACATTTTCCTTTTCATATGTACTCTTGTTCCATTAACCTTATTGAAAATGGCACATGTCAATAGGAAATTAGATAATTGCAGTCATCATACTTAGTTCACTCTTAACTTTTGTTTGCAATTTTGCTCTTGTCTTCAGAGTGATAGATGCTCCACTTCAAAGACCAAATCATAATACAAAATCCTGATACCTAATTCTGAACCATAACCTTCACATAAGCCACAACTATAAGTTCACAGTATGAACTGGACAGACTCATATTACAAATTTAGAGAGAACATGAAAAATTTACTAATTAGGGAGGACAGTTTCTATCACATATGATCTTTCCAACTCCAACTAAATTAATAATCTTTCTAGCTTCCAACTCCAATTAAATCACTGCTTGAAAACATAAAACTTCCCAGCTTAAACCAACCAGTTTTACTCCTCTCTTCAGTCTATTTCAAAGATCCAAATTGGTGGCCCAAAACATTCTAGGACAGCCCCACTGATGGCTAGAAAATAGTATTTAGAGGTTTGCTTTTGGGAATTGGCTTACAGGTAAAATAGATATGCATTAGAATAATGATCCAGGGCAAGAGCAAGGGTTAACTGATTTTTTAAAAGCCTATTTCTGAAAGTTTCCTCAAGGCCTGCTGTGTCTACAAGGCAAGCAGTGAGCAGACACACAGGCTGGGAAATTAAAGACATGTACCACAGTGTTCCATACAATGAGATAAGGTGGCACCAGGTCACAGTGCCCAAGTGCAGAGCCCCTTGGATTTCTGCTTTTAGGGGAACAGACCAAATTATGAGGACACTGGTAAAGCCAAAATTAGGATGCATGCATGTGATGGGCCTGTGAAACAAAGGAATATCCTAACAAAACGTGGACAGTATAACGACCACAGAGAGATCAATCAGCGATGGCCAAAAATGAAGAGTCAGCAGCAGGGGAAAAGAATACAAAAGAAGGGATTTCAGAGAAGCAAGGGTCCCTGAGAAGGGAACCTGAGGCCAACATGGATAGAGGGCACACCACCAGCCCATCTCAGCCACCCCATTGGGGGCGGGGGAGTGGGGGAGGCCTTGACCTCCAACCTCCAGGCTGCTGACATCTGGCATTCAAGTGAGAACCTCAGAGTGAAGCTTGCATACTGGCCACATGTACCTTGACTCTGTGCAGCTCTAGGATTGGTAGATATAGAATTATTTACATTACTCTTATTTGCTATCACTGTGTATCAATAAAACTTGCCTATTATTGAATGGAAAGGTCATGGTCAGCCTGAGGGTTTGGGTCCACTTGGAACAAGGTATCTGAGTCACAAATCTAGTACCAACACCACTATATTCCTTTATCCAGAATTGCTCATTTTTATGAATATTCAAACAAATATCTCACACACACACACACACACACACCACATATTTATTTACACACACATGTGCGTGAAGAGGTGAAATAAAACCCTTCTGAGCCCACAGACAGGGAAAGGAGGACATTTCCAACCTAGCCAGAGCTGACAACGAGGGATCAGCAGCTGCCACAGGGACTCCACTTTATCAGCAGCTGCTAAATCTGGATTGGTCCCACCAATGACAGTGCCAGTATTTCTGGCCCACTGCCAGAGCCAAAGGTGAGAGAGGATGGATGCTGGGCAAAGAAGCAGTCCCAGGAATGCTGAGACACTGGTGGGGAAACTGCAGGGAGAAGAAAGCAGGCAGAGCTTCCCCTCGAGAGCCCAGAGGGTCTCTGATAATTTAAACGCCACTGCGGAGCCTGAAGTGGCAGGAACTGCAGGGAGAGCCTGAAAGTACGTGTGTCAGGAGGACAGGCAGCCACAGGAGCTGGCAACACTCCCAAACAGGGTCTTTCTATTTTCAGTTACTTTTGTTTTGCTTCTGTCTGGCATGGACACGGGAAAGCTGGGCTACTTCTACCTAAAGGAAGGGGAAAAGAAAGAGTTGGTGCCAACCTTGTGTTGGCAGCACATTGGTAAGCCAACTGACCCTCTGCTCATAAAGAAGTGAGCTGATAAGGGCAGGCAGGCTGGCCTGCCACACGTGGGGAGCTGGCAGGTGCTGCACAAGCCTTGATGATGGTCGCCAAAGTGTCCAAGGCTAAAAAGGGCCTACGCAGTAGGCAAAAGGCTCAAATATTTGAGCCAGGAAGGCTCAAATATTTCTGCTTGTATCTCTTTTATGCATGAGGGCCGGACATAGAGGATTGGCCGGAAGCCCAAAGGACTAACTTACCCTGCGGGTAGTAGCTGCAGCCTGCAGTAACAACAACCATAGGGACCAAGACTTATGCAAGTTCTGTTTTCTCATTTTGTATTGTCTTTCATTTCCCTGTCATTTATCAAGTTGCAAACGAACAAGCCACAGAGTGGCCAGGCCGACACTTCCTTAAGTCAGGTTTGGGAGGAACACAGGCTTAAAAGAGCAAAGAAGAACAGGAGATCACCCACTGAGACAAGGGTGCAACATATGCTGTAATAACATGGTGGCGCTAGGACAGGGTATAGGGGAGGTAGGAGCCCAAAAGAAGACTCAGGCTGGCACATCCAAGAACCCCTCCCCCCGCAAAAAAAATAAGATATTTGACACCAAGACATGGCAGGAAAGAATTGGGTGCCCTTTGCTGAGTGCTAGGATTATGAGTCCACACCCTCATGGCTCAATCTTACCAGGTGCAGGGCTGTCGGAGCCTGTGGCCCTATCCTATACTGCACCAATGATGTGCACTGTGATGAGAGGGACCATACACGCCCCCTGGATACCCTAGGATCCCTGGCTGACCCAGAATGGGCCAAGCAGAGAGTCCTGGGGGAAAAGGAAAATTTACCTTCCGGGTGGGCAGAACCAGAGCTGCAGCAATAAGCGGTGGCACCAGGGCTATTTTAAAGCTCCCTGTCAATCAACCTAGGTGATGCCAGGCTGATGATGTCAGCCACAGGTGCTGCAGCGGGGAATTTAAAAGGCAATCAGAGTGCCATCAGGGAGCAGGGAGGAACTGCTTCTGGGCCAGCCAAGGCCAGAGCAGCAGTGGCCTCAGGGCCCTGTGCCAGGGAGGCACTCGAGCCACAGGAACCCTGGCAGCCTGAGGCAGGAAAGGCCAACCAGGGCCAAAGGGAGACAATGGCTTTGGCCCTGTTCAGGGGCTATCTCCCGAAGGAGGGAGTAAGGGACACTTATTCACAGGGGCTCATTGAGCCTGCAGTAGATAGTCCTTCCAAAGTGGAGGCTTTTTTTTTTGTCCTTAGTGTGACAGGGGGCCTACTCAGGGCCGAGCTCTTCGTGGCCCGGCCACCTGTCTCTGGGCAACCGCCCGCCTATCTTGCCCGCCACGCCTTTGATGATAATTGATCCAGTCACAGATGTCGATTAAGCGGGAGGCTGCCCATTAGTGCCCCGATGCCAGGGGGCACTCTGCGGCTCCGACCTCCCCTAATACCATAGCCCAAGCCTCACAAATGGCATCATGGTGTTCACATCGTCACCGGCCCCACACTGGGCCCCAGAATCATCCACAAAGGACCCCTCTATGATCCTCTCCTATCAGGCGGCCACTCCGCCGTCATCCAGGCTACCTAGCCCCCCCGAAGCTGAGTTCCCCTCTCAGGTGTGGTCCCCCCGGGACCTCCGGCACCTAGCCCTGGCCCACCTCCAGGCCAGTCGGGACCCCAGGCCCCCGGCTCTTGGGCATCCC